AGATTACACTGAATCCACAAATTGAGGGAATATTGCAATTGTAAGCAATTTAAGTCTTCAAATCCACCAATACATAATGTCAATTTAGATCTTATTTTATTTTTTTCAGTAACATTTTTGTTTTGTTTTGGTTACAATGTAGTAGACTGTACCCATGGCCAGGAGTATTCAAGGCTCAAAACTATTTCCTTAGCTGCAGTATACAAGGTTTAATATCTCCACAGTTAAATTTACTCTTTTATTTTATTATTTTTGGTATCATTATACACTTTTACTCTTTTTCAATACTGGGGATTGAGCCAGGGCCCTTGCTCTAAGCTACATTCCTAACCCTTTGTAAGTTTTTTATTTTGAGAAAGGGTTTGGCTACGTCATTAAGGTGCCTTGACTGAGTTTGAATTTAAGCTCCTCCTGCCCCAGCCCACTGTAGCGGTGCTGGGATTACAGGTATGTACCATTATGCCTGGAGTTTATCTTTTCCTTGTACTGGGGATGGAACCCAGGGCCTTGTAAAGGCTAAGCAAACACTACTAGTGGGCTACATCTTCAATCTGCACACAGTGTATTTATAAAAACAATTTTATAAAAAAAAGTTTAAACCTACTATGAATACCTTTCTGTGTTAGTAATGCGGAGTGCAAAAATTATTTTATGTCACTTACTGGGTATGTTACATTTTGTTTCCATAATTCCTAATTTTTTTTGTTGTTTTGAAACAGGTTCTCATCGTTTGTTCAGGCTGTCTTTGAACTCATAATGTAGCCCAGGCTGGTCTCAGATTTGTAGCAATCCTCCTAACTCAATTTCCCAAGCACTAAAATCACAGGCGTGCTTTCACAAGTCCTAATTATTGACTATCTTGGTCACTTCAAATTTTCAACTACCAGAAATAAGACTGCAATGAGCTTCTTTATAATGTATATCTTTGTGCACTTATCCAATTATGTCTTTTGGATAAATTCCCAGAAGCGAACTTATTAGGTCAAAGGAGAAGCATACTTTTAAAGCTTTGATGAATGTTGCCAAATTTTCCTCCAAAAATATCAGACTAACACCCACTGTGAACGGCAGTAGATGGGTCTGTTCTTTGTGCAGGGGCCAAATTACTTTTCTCCAAAGTCACTTCCAGAGGGAGAAAACAGGCCCCAGACATTCTTCTCAGCTGGCCAGAAACTGAACCTGATAGTAATGGTCCCAATCTGCAGACGTCTTCCTCTCAGAAAGGGAAGGGCCCTTGGCAAACCTCTACTGAAATATTCATTGCAAAGACAATTTTGGATTTCTTGGATGTTTGTTTTGTTTTTTGAGACAGGATTTCGCTGTGCAGTACAGGTTGAGCCTTGGACACACTGTGTAGCCTAGGCTGGCCTCGAACTAACAGCAATCCTCTTGTCTCGGCCTCCCCAGTGCTGGAATTATAGACATGAGCCACCACGCCCAGCACTGGGATTTATTTTTCCTGCTATTTTTTTTTTTCCTTCACACCAGGGATTGAACTCACAACCTTGCACTTGCTTGTGTTTGTGCTTGCACTGCAGAGATATATCCCAGCCCCTCTTGGCTTACTCTTACTCCCTCTAGTCTGCAAGATACATGTGGCTGGAGTCTGTGCCTCGTTTATTTACTGCACAGTGTCTTGCAGAGAGTCTGATGCAGGAATTTCTCCTAAATTTAAGATCGCTGGTATGGGGGACAAGACAGCTTATCACAAGCTAAAATTCCATGAGAGCAGCAATAGCATCTTTTCTTGTAGTATCCCCAGGGCTGGCACATCTCCGGCACATAATAGCTCTTCAGTAAGCAATTGTAGAAATGAATACATGAAAGCTACTCACTAGGAAGTAAGTGGGTGCACCAGCCGAAAGCGCTGTCTGTGCCCCTTTCTGCCCGCTCTGCCTTTTTGCTCTTTTACTGTTTGCTCCACATTTTTGCGTCCCTGGTCCTTTGGTTTCTGTGCCTCAGGAACACCGTTAGGCTTCTGCTGCCAAATGGAGGAGCTCAGGACATCGCCTGTTGGTAGTTCCAAGTCCCATCTAACATTCTCCAGTGATTTTGCAAGGGTGAGGAATTTCCCCGTGCTCACTCAGCCCTGTTCATCTGTGCCCCTTTGCCCGGATGCTGTCGGTTGGGCTGAAGTCAGCATGAAAGCTATTTTTGACTAAGTGGCTACCTAATCTTACATGACCCTCAGCGATTGAGGCCAAGGTCATGGGACTTAGTGCATGAGACATACTTCAGAGACCAGCGACTCCCCTTCTGCAGAGTCCCTGCAGACACGCCGATGGAGAGGGGCTGCCCGTGATGGGGTCCCTGGGTCGCCTCTGCAAAACCCAGCCCACGCCTTCTGAGCACACCTCAGCCACTGCCACAGCCTCAGGGCAGGTCCCCCACATGTCGCATTCCCCAGTTTCTCTGGAACTTAGTGGAATTACAAGCCCAGGAAACACTGTGTTTGGATACCTTCGTTGCATGTTCTCCGTCCTGTATCCTCCCCTGGGGCAGACATGTGAACTGGTAACGTGCGTAACATAGACATTTGTCCATCTGACAGGAAGGGATAAGCCCACATTTTAATATCAGCTTTGTTTTATTGGAAAAGAGATACTGTAGCAGTCCAGGCCCTCTGGACTCTTGTCCTGAATGCCTTTCCTGTCGTATGCATGCTCTTTGCCACGTAAACTAAATTCTCACTAAATACTTAGTGAGTGGAATTTGCTATTTACTCCCTTGTGCTTCTTGTTACATCCAAGCATCTGGCACCTCCAGGCCATGTGGGGAACCCTCTCACCTCTGAGTGTGCTGAATCTTTCACCTGACAGATGAACAGCCTCAGTCCCTGGCCCAGCTCACAACCAAATGTGTCACAACACCTTCCTCGGTCCCCCAGGTAGAATCAGTTGTCTTTTGACCTACATTGTCCGAGCACATGGCTCACACTTTTGTTTAGAGCTTCTAACAACATAGCTGGTCATGTACGCATCAGTTTCTTCCAGCAGACAGTAGCTTCTGCAGGGCGAGGTCTGAGCTGGAGTGATCCCTCTCTCACCCGCACTGCCTCCTACCAATAACTGAGTGCTGGGCCCAGAGAATATGCATCTATTGGGTAGATATATGCCTGGGTGCCCAGACCAAATTAGGTCTGCAGCTCACAGGATGACTTGGCCTTTCTTTCTTTCTTTTATATTTTTGGAGACAGGGTCTCACTACGCAGTTCAGGCTGGCCTTGAACTCACTGTGTAGCACAGAATGGCCTCAGATTCACAATGATCTTCCTGCCTCAGCCTCCCAAATGCTGGGATTACAAGTGTGCACCGCCATAACTGGCAACTTAGCATTTCAAATTCTACATGGGTGACTGGAGAAGAAAGTTATAGACGGTAGTGTCAGTGGAGGCTGCCAAACTGGAGTCAATACAGAATTTCTCTCTTAGAAAATATAATCTTACACATAATTGGTGTTCACTGTAGAGAACACGGTACAGCTGCAGGAAACCACTTGAACATAAGAGTATCTTTTTTGGTCAGGCATAGTGACGCACGCCTGTGATCTTGGCACTCCGAAGGCAGGAAGATTGTTGCAAGTTCGAAGCCAGCCTCGGCGACATAGTGAGCTCAAGGACAGCCTGAACTATATAGTGAGACTGTCTCAAAAAAAAACCCAAACAAACAAAGAATATCTTTTCAGACTTCCTGCCTGTGTACTGCCCTCCTTCTACCCACCTTTACAGAGATGGGACCTCATAGTGCCTTTTGCTTTGTGAATCCATCTCGCTTAACAATACGTAAGCAAAAATGAGATCAGCAACTCCTTTCTTTCTATTAGGAACTACTCCTCCCTTTCTCCATTTAATCCACAGATTCCCTGGTTAGATCATAGACTCAGTCTGGTCTTGGTTGATTGGCTTCCAGTCAGGTCTTGACCCGAGATGGTCTGATCACAGCCCCTGGCTCCCTCTGCCCCCTGCAGCTGACTGCTTCAGATTGGAGTATTTGACTGAAGGTAAGCAATATATTCCTTGCTTTGGATTCCCGAATGTGGGTTTAAAGACACTATAGATAGACTCTTTCCTGTGTTCTAAACCTTATTTGACACTATCTGGTATACAAAAGAAAGTGAGTCTGCCATGCATAGAAAGCCAAACATACCTGGTGGAGACAGAGTCCTAAAACTGCCTGAGGCCTGGGTTCTGGCTGTTTTTAGGCCTGGCCACCCTGTGGTCCTTGCCGTAGTTTGGTTGTCCAACTCTACTTAAGATCCCATGAGCCAGCAGATCCTGCTCTGTTGCTTTTTCCATTTGGAGATGAATGTCTGTTACCTCCCACTTGCTCCTAATATACAGTGCTACACAATGTGTTGAGGACATAACTCTATGTCCCTAGTAACACACACATCAGTTGTAACAATAGCAAGCTATTGTCTGGATTTCCACATTTAGCCAGTCCCCTGTGTTGAATATCTTGATAACTGAGTTCTTTTCATTGTGATGGGTGATGCTGTAGTGAACATTCTCGTAACTTAGTATCGTGCCCTAGCATTATTTCATTAGAAGGGGATTCTCAGGAGAGGAAATTGCTATAGCAAAGTGTAGTCATGTTTGTAAGGCTTCCTAATGTGGGTTTGGACTGCCCTGGTGCCCTGGGACTGTTGCGCCTTTCAGTGTCTCTGCTCACAGGGTCTTTGGATGTCTCTATGGGATTAAACCATTTCAGAATGAGTGTTTGACCATTATTTGTCCTTCAGGGGAAGGTCCAGGTTTTGGGTCCAATACGCTTGTAAACTATGCCCAAGTATTCTGTTGAAAAAGCAGGCATGGGGTCAGTCACGGTCACGAGCATGTCCGAGGGATTTCGTAAACACAAGACCAGCTCCATGAGTACACAGTGGAGGTTGGGTTTTGCTGGGCCTGGGGCTGTGGACACTGGAATCACCAGCTTCCGGTCATCGGCTGGATCCCAAGGGCGTAGTCAGCTCAGAGAGCAAGGGAAGGACATGGCTTTGAGGAGATGTTGGGCAACCAAAACCAGAAAGTGGGCACAGCCTTCAGTCTGAGAGGTCAGGGGACAAATCGGCCAGCCCTCTCTGTGCTGAGCACAGTGTCCATGCTGAGGGGACAGTGAGGGACAAGCATCACGTATCCCCACCACCCTGGAGCTCACAGTCCACTAGCGAAGCTGAAAGAAGGGTGCCTCAGGACAGAGCTGGGTGAGTTGGGTAAAGTGGGAGGGGCTCAGCCTGGTCATGGAGGGGGAAGCCCTCCTGGGAGAAAATGGCCTTTAGCTGAGACTTGAGGGGTAGGCATTGGCTATACTGGAGGAGTGTCCTGGTCAAGGACAAAGCCTGCAGAAAGGCCAGGAGTGAAAAGAGGTCAGGTATTCAATGGTCCTGTGGGTGTTAAGCAAAGGAGCTGAAAGATGAGAGAAAAATGCCTCCTGGCCATCTGACCTGGCGGCTGGGCAGCCCCGGAGGAGCCTGTCCGGAGAGGCGGGGGACACAGGGACAGACATCAGATCAAGGCAGCAGAGCCCGTGTCTCTGGCAGCTGTGGCCTGGGATCCTGAGGCTCTCCTGTCCGAGGGCCTGTCTGCTGGTTACCCTGGGTCTCAGACCTCATGGCTCAGCCTGGCCAGGACCGCGCCCTCGGCAGGTTCATGGGGCCCTGTTCTCTTTTAACAGAGGGCAGCGGCACCGCAGGAACCACTCGCGTGAGAATGAGTCTCTAACTTCCCCATGAAGTTAGAATACTCCCCACCTCACCTCACACACAGGTGAGCGACTTCATCTGCATGTGGGGCCCCAAGCCTGTCATTTCTGCACTCTGGAAGGCTGAGGCAGGGCGTTGAATTACAGCCAAGCCCGGGCAACTTAGTGACTGAGACCCTGATTCAAAATAAACAAAGATTTTGTAAATGGGGAGGGGGAGAAGAGTTGGAGGAAGAGAGGAATAGGAAAATAAAGAAGAATTTCGACACATTATGTACATGTACAAATTCCCTAAGATGAATGTGATCATTATGGATGGCAAATTTGTACTAATTAAGAAAAAATGAGCTGAGAGTTCAGTGCAAAGACTATGGGTTCAATTCCCAATACTGGGCTGGGAGAGAGACAGAGATAGAGACAGAGAGACAGAGAAACAGAGAGAGAGAAGATAGAGAGACAGAGACAGAGAGACAGAGACAGAGTAAGAGACAGAGACAGAGAGACAGAGAGAGACAGAGACAGAGAGACAGAGAAAGAGACAGAGACAGAGAGACAGAGACAGAGACAGAGACAGAGAGACAGAGACAGAGACAGAGACAGAGAAAGAGACAGAGACAGAGAGACAGAGAGATACAGAGACAGAGACAGAGAAAGAGACAGAGACAGAGACAGAGAGACAGAGAGATAGAGACAGAGACAGAGAGACAGAGACAGAGAGAACCATCTTTATCATGGGATTAAATGGAACAAGATAATGCAATGAAAATGCTGTGTAAAGAAAAGAGAGCTAGAACGTTGGTTCTCAAACTTTACTTTTCTCTGAAGCAGCAGCAGGCTTTTTATAAATATAATTTTACTGCACACCCATGTGCCCCTCTGCTTGCGTGATGCTGCCTTTTGGAAGCATTTTGACTTTTGCACGTGCAGAGCCAAGGCCTCGGACTCCGCCACGCTCCTCAAGGGGCTCCTGCTCACCTTCCCTGCCTGTCCGACCCTTCTTCCACTTGATGCGGGAGGAAGTGGAAACACAGCGCGAATGCCGCTGCCCACCCTCCACTGTCGCCAGTCTTGGGGCTTTTCTCCAAGCCCTGCTGCAGCTGCCTGCCCCTTGGGCCAACTTCACTCACACGAATCCTGCAGGAACTCCTGCTCTGTCGCCTGCTCCACTACCGGGTTACCACTGGGCTACGGGATGGGACAGGATGGCTCAATGAGAGACGCAGGCACAAAGTGAAAGTTTTCAGCTTAGCAAGTCGTAAAAGCTGAAAACAATTCGGTAACAGCACTCAAATCAAGGAACATCATCCCAGAAGCCTGTTCAAATCCTCTCCTGGTCACTCGCAAGTCCTCAGCATGGTGGCCCGTATCCTGACTTCTAATACTGTAGAACACTTTTGCCTGTTTTTGGATTTTATGTGCATGGATTCACATGCCTACAATTTTACATCTGCCTTAATCTTCTCATCATTTGTGAGATCGATCTGTACTGTTGCTTGCACAGTTTGTTCATTTTCATTGCTATCTAGTGTCCCACTGTGTGAATATTTCATTATTTATTAGGCCAAGTTCCATTTGATTAGTTTGGGTTTTGGGATATTGCAAAGAGGCCGGTTGTCAATAATTCTTTTTCCTGGCACTGGGAATTTAACCCAGGGCTTTCCCACTGAGTTGCATCTCCAGGCTTTTTAAATTTTGAGACAGGGCCTGCATGAATTACAAATCTGGGGTCAAACTGGAATTACAGGTGTACATACCATACTTGATGATTGTCAATATTTTTGTCTTGGTGCACACAAGTATGCATTTTTGTTGGGTATCTACTAGGATTTGAGTTGACTCACGGAAGGTATGCAAATGTTCCGAGCGTTCTTGCTAAGGCACCATCTACCACAGCATTCCCCTACTCTAACCCCCATGCTTTCCCACTGCAGTCGGCTTAGGGTCCCACTGTTGCCTGGGTTCTCAGATCCCACGTATTCCAGCGTCCACTTCCCTTCCACCCTCCATTTCCAGTGCCACCCTCACATCATCTGCTCCTCTACTATGTAGACTTTCTCTTTCTTGCAGAATGCTGAGCTCTTTCTAGCTCACCTGCCGACATGTCACAGCCCACAGCTGACATGTGCCCCACTGGCCTGCTCCACTTGCACTTACTGTTTCAAGTCAGCTAGAACTTCCTTAGAAAGGCCTCTCCTGAGTATCAGACCTCCATCAAAAATAACAACAGTTGCCAGGCATTGTGGTGCATGTCTCTAATCCCAGCACTCAATAGGCTGAACCAGGAGGATTGTCATGAGTTCAAGCCAGCCTGGGCTACATAGCGAGTTCGAGGTCACCCTGGACTACATAGCTGGCAAGACCCTGTCTAAAAAAAATAGAGCAATGGTAGTCACTGTCTCTTTTTACTCAGTGCACATTTGCACTTACCCAAAGCTTGAAACGGTATGAGGAGTTTGGGTTGTCCCCTTGCCCCATGGATACAAGCACCAAGAGACTGGGACTGTCATGTCCACCTAGCATGGGTGGGGACACAGTACGTACTCAGCAAATCTCAGTGTAGCACAGATGCAAGGTCTCTGAGTCACAGAGACCAGGGTGTAAATCTTGGCTCTGTTTGTGCCTTTGGGCCAGGTACCTAAATTCTCTGAGGCTCAGTGTCTCCCTCTGTAAAATGGTGATAATCCTGCTGGCTTCTCAGACAGACAAGTGCTTACAGGGACTAGCTAAGACTATGTACATGCCTCACACTGTGTGAGGTAATGGGGTGAGTACCAAGAAAGGGGTGAAGTCCAGGCATCAGCTCACTGACACCTCACCACAAGCCCAGGGGTGAGCAATGCTCTAAATCCCAGGGTCACAGATGAAAAGCTAAGAAGCTAAGGTTCAGAGAGGTTAATGACCAGGCAAATTATTATAGCCCCATGGCCTTGCTCTCCTCCACCTGGCACTGGAGGCCTCTGGAGAAAGATCAGCAGCAAATGGAGGCAGGGAGCTCCTGAGAGCCCACTCACCCCACCTCTGTCACAGCGTCTGTAACGTCCATACACTGTATCACTTGACGAGATTGGGAGCTTGACTAAATAACTCAGCAGTTCCCCATCCTAGGGATGTAAAGGACAGGCCTTTAGGGCTCTAGGATGTCATTCATTGTGTCAATCTGAGAAGTTTGGAAGTCTAATTAAGTGACTCAGCAGGAGGACAGCCTCCTCACTCTGTAACATCCAGTCTGTGCAAGAGGACGCCACAGAGATCGAAAGAGCTACTCCTATCCCAGGCGGAGAGATTGAAGACATGCACGGGAGGAAAAGAGGCTTGTTCTCCCACTTTTTCCCTTGCCGCTTTTGCTGTCGTCAGCAGCCACGAACGCTTGCTCCTCAGCCACGCCACCCCACCTCAGAGCCCGCTGAGGATGGGCTGAATCCTCTACAGGCTGTGAGCTCAATAAACCTTTCCCTCTTTAAATCTGGGTGTCTGGTATTTTGTTCCAGCAACCAGAGAAAAGTAACTAAGACAGCATCCATTCAGCCCATGAAGTCCTAGGGTTAGGAGCACAGTTTGAAAAGCACCAGGTTACGTAAACATCCGTAGCTATTAAAAGCTTAAAAGAAAAAAATAGAAGGACATGATCATGTAAAATTTTAAACTTCTGTGTAGCAAGATGACACTGCAAACAAGGTCAAAAGATACACTTTGGAGTTTGGAGAAAATATTCAAACTTCATACGGCAAAGTCTTACCTTCTCTGGGATGAGTGCACTCCTGCTAGTTAACTGGAAAAAATATGAATGGCATAGTGGGAAACAGTCAAAGGCTGCAAGGAGTTTACAGAAGAGGAAATGAAAGAGGGCAGCAAACACATGAATGAGTAAAGAAATGGAAATTAAATAATGAGCTCCTGGATGTCTCCTAATATTGGCAAAAATGAAAATTAGCAGGAACATTTATGACTGATGACAGCATAAGAAAGCCAACTCCATCATCGGTCCATTGTTGAGCTGTGAAAAATTACAGCCTTTTTAGAAAAATTGTACAAAATACGTTACCAAGAGGTGTGACAATTTTCAGATATGAAAGTCATAATGTACAACAATAAATAGATAAGTAGATGCAAGAATATTCATGGCAACATCTTTGTAATAGCAAGAAAAAAAATCCTGCTTCCTCTGATACAATCATAAACAAATATAGCTATTAAAACAAATAAAGGTAGTTTTGTGTTTACCGATTTAAGATTATGTCCAAACATCCGATGTGAAAAGAATACTAACAAATAATGAATGTGGTTTGATGTCATCTTTAGAGAAAACAAACCAAATAAACACCCTCATATTACTCTGGATGCATAAGCAAAGGAAAAGGAAGGGAAATTAGGGTTCTAGTTGCAGTGTGTGGAAGATGGGGTGGCGGGTATGCCTTTTGCTTCGGATTTACCTTTTAGTTCAATGTTTGTTTGTTGCAATGAGCATGGATTATATTACAAATATTAGTTAATAAGTACTGCTTA